TAATCTTGACATTCACATACGATTGAAACTCAGACTTCACAATCAGATGAAGCGTACATGGAAACAGACAAAGGATTTGTAACTACATAGTTATAATGCTATCACTTTATTATCTTATCTATCAGCACTTTCACCCTTCCGCCAATTCATCAATTCATGATGATGAGCAATGTGTAAATATTAATTGCAATTTCACGCCATATACGTCACGGCATGTAAATCTCATTTTGACCCCGAAATATGTAGGCCTACTTAATGGACTGCCTTTATGGCATGTATCCCGTTGCATATCATACGAAAGATATATAATGGGACCGCAATGGGACCGTCTGCACAACAATAATTCTGAAAGAAATGAAACAAACACTACTGTGCCAACATTTGTTTTTATTTGCTGTTGGTGGTAAAGCTATAGGTTTCAACCCTTTTCTTAGGTCATCTTCAGGCGTACAAGTATACTGATATTGCGTCATTGATGAATATGAAATAATATTGTGTTCGTCTGAATTTTTATACTAACAAATACAATATAATTTAAATGTAAATCAAACACAGTTAAAACTTAACATTAAATGGATACAAATAAAAGTTAAAATTAGAATTAAATGGCGACTAAGATATTTATAACTAATACTATAAGTTTTATTTAAGACTCTGTGGCCGCTAAATATGTGTATATGTGTCGCTGGTTGTTCCACTGTGGTAGTGACATTCTGTGATGTGGGGTAAATGCGCTCTGGGATCTTTCCTCAGAATGTGTGTCGTGTTTTTTGACCTTCCTGGAAAATGTCTTGTTCTCTATTTTATATATATTACGACCGATATTATGTAGGGTGTCTATTATATTCGTATCTATAGTGGTTACTTAATATCGAGTGAAGGATATACACATTATTTTGGGTATCACCCTCAGGTTGTTTGTGCGTGGACTTGGCTGTAACAGTTTAGATTATAATATGGATCTCTTGTGTGAGATTTGTTATTAAGCGAATTCTTTGTGTTGTATAGCACGCGTACTTATACTTGGATATTCAAATTTGATATTGTGTATATTTACGTCACGAGAATAGTGAAAGTTCGCTGGTGTGTTATCATCGTTCTGGATGTTCAACCCCCAACAGAAGATATAATTGATGATATAATGGGCAGGTTCTACGAAGAAGTAGAACATCTATTTGATAAATTTCCGAAGTTCCACATGAAAATTTTGTTAGGAGATTTCACTGCCAAAGTAGGGAGGCAAGATATTTTCAGACCAACGATTTGGAATGAGAGTTTGCATGAAATTAATAATAATAACAAAGCTAGAGTAGTAAACTTTGCCACATCGAAAAATCTTACTGTCAAAAGTACAAAGTTCCCACATCGTAACGTCCATAAATTTACTAGGACATCTCCTGATGGGAAGATACACAATCAAATAGACAATATTTTGATAGATAGGAGACGGCACTCAAGTATACTTGATGTCCGATCATTCAGGGCAGCAGATTGTGATACTGACCACTACCTGGTGGTGGCAAAGGTTAGGGAAAGACTGGCAGTGAGCAAACAAACAACACACAGAGTTCATATGGAGAGGTTCAATCTCAAGAATTTACGAGTAAATGAGGTAGAGGGTAAAGAGCTGTATCGTGTTGAAGTCTCAAATTGGTTAGCGGCTTTGGAAAACTTGGACACTGAGGTGGATGTTAATAGAGATTTGGAAACTGTTATCAAAATTTCTGCCAGGGAGAGTCTAGGTTATTATGAACTGAAGAAGAATAAGCCATGGTTCGATGAAGGATGCTCAAAATTATTAAACAAAAGGAAACAAGCTAAATCGCAATGATTACAGGATCCAAGCGAAATAAATGGGGATAATCTGAACAATATAAGACGTGAAACCAGCGGGCATTTCAGAAATAAAAAGAGGGAATATCTGAAAGACAAAACTGATGAGCTTACAATGAACAGTATGAACAAGAATATTAGAGAAATACATAGAGTAATAAATGAGGTTAAGAGGGGTTACCAACCTGGAATTAACTTAGTGAAGGATGAGAATGGTGATCAGCTTGCAGATTCCCACAACATTTTGAATAGGTGGAAGAGCTGCTTCTCCCAGTTATTGATTGTACACAGAGTCAGTGATGTTAGGCAGACAGATATACATACAGCTGAGCCGTTAGTACCTGATCCTAGCAATTCATAGTTTGGAATTGTAATTGCCAAACTGAAAAAGTACAAATCGCCAGATAATGATCAAATTCCGGTAGAAGTGATTCAAGCAGGAGGCGAAATACGTTCTAAATTCCATAACCCAGTTAATTCTATTTGGTATAAGAGAAAAATATCTGATCGGTGGAAGGAGTCTATTATTCTATCGGTCCACAAGAAGGGTGATAAAACTGACTGTAGTAATTATCATGGGATGTCCCTGTTATCAACCTCATACAAAATTGTATCCAACATTCTTCTCTCAAGGTTAAGTCCATATATAGATGAAATTATTGGGGATGATCAGTGTGGGTTTCGACGCATTAGATCAATTATTGACCAGATCTTTTGCATTTGTCAGATACTGGAGAAGAAATGGGAGTACGATGAGACAGTACATCAGCTATTCATAGACTTCAAGAGAGTCTATGATTCAGTTAGGGGAGAAGTACTGTACAATATTCTGTTAGAGTTTATGATACACACGAAACTAATTACACTGATTAAAATGTGTTTAAGCGAAACGTATACTAAAGTTCATATTGGTAAATATTTGTCTTATAATTTTCGTATCCAAAATGGTCTAAAACAAGGAGATGCTTTATCACCACCATTTTCCAACTTTGCTTTAAAATACGCCATTAGGAATTTCTAGGACAACCAGGTCGGACTGAAATTAAATGGGACACATCAACTGATGTTTTCTGCTGCTGACGTGTTCTGCTAGGTGGTAATATAGATACCATGAAGGAAAACACACAGACTTTCATTGACGCTAGTAAGGAGTTTGGTCTAGAAGTAAACACAGAGAAAACTAAGTAGATATTGCTGTTTCTTCATCTGAATGCAAAACAACATTATAATATAAAGATATAAAACAGATGTTTTGATTTAATTTATTTGTTAAGGTTAAGAAAGTTAACTGATTTCACTGTTGTTAAAATTGCGTTAATTTCTGTATTACTTATTGTCATTGGCAAGACGTTAGAATCATGTAGCAATACATTGTATGATAATTGAGGTATGTAGCACTTTTACCACGATAAATTCGTGAATTTTATACGACGATTATTGAAAATCTTCTAATCATCTTCACCAGTTCAGCACTAAAGAGGATTATATGGCAAAAATAATAACATATCTTAAAGATATGTAATGGTTATTGAGAATCTGATATTCATTTTCACCAGTACTGGTCAGAGAAATATGCAAAAAATAACAAGAAAAGGAATACACTCATAATAATAATAAAAAATAAGAATAATATACCAAAAATAATAATAAAATGGTTATGTAAATTATCTAAAATAGTAATCTCTAAAACTCTCTACCAACAGTGAATCCTGATACTGACTCTGCTTCTCAGTGGTGCTTGCTGAATTGGGTAACCTGAATACTGCAAGTCCATTATAAAATAATGCAACTTCGTTCTTCGGTCATCAACCTCTTTGTTCTCTTACACCAAAAAGTTCTGTAAATCCTTCTGAGACCTCTCACAATACCATCCACTATTAGTTGGTACCGAAGTGAACAGCCAATCGTGTTCTTAATGGCAGTCTATGATATGTTGCTCCACTGAATTCAACCGGACCACCTATGCCATCATAGACTCAGAGTTACAGCAGTAAAACAGTCTTTACCAGACATTGGTTGATGGCAGCACTTCAGATGTCAGGCATGTCTTACAGACATCACAGTTGACACCTTGAAGCACCTGTCTGACAATGGAACCACTGGCAATGGCTACTGAGAATACTTCCTTGCCACCAGCATTTACTGCAGGACCCATTGCCTTCTGTGCTTACTGAGCACCATAGACAATTTCGAGAACATCATCAGGGGTTTCCTTGCCATGACTTGAGGAAGGATTTCGTGAAGCAGCATCAGTTGCCCTGAAAAACTATTCTAGGTTATCCAGAAGAGTAACACCATCATCCTCATAATTAGTTTCGACCAAACCTTTAAAATCAAGGCCATTAATGACGCTAGACATCAGGGCATCTGCACACTGTCCAATAGTTTTTTTATTTATCATTTATTAGCAATCTGAATTTATATTCTATGAGCTAATTTGCTGTCATGTACAATAATTACTCTAACTGTCCAATAGTTGAATTATTTTCAAACCAGAGTACAAATGAATAACCCCAACTGTGTTCTAAAGGGGATCCTGATTCGGGTTTCATGTGTGAAGGCACTTAAATTCCACCACTTTCACTGTCCTCCACATGCTGAGTAGTACCGGAGTTAATTAGCCACACATTTTGCGAATGAGGAAGGTGAAGAACTTGAGTTCAGACATATTATTTGTGATTTTTTTGTGTGAAAAGTTTAATAACCCTTGCAAAAATGTCCCCGAAGAAAAAGCCGCAAAAACAGCCATAAGAGAATAAAAATAACCGTAGAAATGAAACGTAAAATAATTGAAAAGCGAGAACGAGGTGTGAGCGTGGCTGATCTAGCACGCACATACAATCGGTCTACATCATCGATTTGTACTGTCCTCAAGAACAAGGACAAGATTAAGGGGATAGATGCTTCAAAGGGAGTGACAAGAATATCTACACAACGGTTACGTATTCTCGGCGATGTTGAAATGGATAAACGAAAAGCAATTGCAAGGCGACACTATTAACGAGAACATCNATCAAAAATAATAAACTAATTATTTCGATTTTTTTTTGTTTTCTGCAAATCGAATTCGCATTCCAGGTTGGTTCATTCCTCATAGAAGAAAAGATGAAGATGATTCACGCTCCTTAACAATGTATATATAATTTTCTTTGAATAAACGTTATACATAAATTTTTTGAGTATTTTTTTCGGCATGGAATGCATTATCGTATGTTACACTAATTTATATGGGAAAACTGTTTCGCTTAACGAGTGTTTCTCATTACGAGTAAGATTATGGAACGAATTATGCTCGTTAAGCGAGGTTCCACACAGGGTTTGCTCTTCAGTAACATATTCACATTCATCTCCTGTTACTTACTGCTGCAGCCTACGCTGTTTACAGAACACAATTTGTTTAATAACACATTTCAACTTCCCATATTTACAGTGTTACGTATATGTATACATATATATGAAATAATCTACAATATTCCAGAAGAGTTAAACAACTATCATTTTCTGATACTGTTATATAACACTTCATAATGAACATAGAAGTGTTAGGAGACTGTCCTAATCTTTATTATCTATAGATAGTAGCATAAAAGTAAACTTTCCTACAATGACGGGTACTGTTCTATGATTCAATTAAGAAGTTCTGTGTCTGCTACTCATGCAGAAGTAGGGATTGTCACGTGTGGATTGAAACTTGTCAGTGACACATACTAGAGAGATAGCCTTATTTCACTGACTTCAAACTTGGAATAACTTGTTGTAAAACAATATAATCCACGCCTTTGTTTAGTTTTAACTAATTTAGTTTTCTCTAAACGAGAGAAGAGGATTCAGAACTTCAAATTTTGCACAGACTTAGCTTTCAAAATGTTTAATCATATCAAGCAACAGAGTAGTGGGCCGTTATGTTGGGCTTGAACAATCATTTCTCGTAGCATCACAAACCTCTAGCTCTGTCTTGCTTGAAACTACAAATAGCCACTCATCCACTGTCATATATAAACCCTAGGGTAGCTGGAACTAATACATATTTATATCATTGGGACTTTTGGATTGAGAACTGTGGCGTGTCTACGAATATGATATGTCGTAAAGGCTTGTGTTGCTTGCATTCAGAGCAGGAGTTCCGCTTATTTCATGCTCCTATTTTTAATTTTCAGCCACATCCCACCAACAGGAGCCAATATGAATGACTTGGCATCGAACACCAGAGGAACAGGAGTTTTCTTGCTGACACTGAACTGGTATTTGGAGAGAAGGGAAACCAGTCCCACCTTGGTTTGCATCAATCCGAACCGCATTCCTGGAACCGAGATTTATGCATTGGTTAGTAAATCATAAAAAAAGTTCTATGGTTTAATCATTTTGATTTCTTTTCATTTGGATGCACAAATGAAGAAGCGCTTTACCGACTGAATGGAAACTTTGGGATTTATTGCTGGATTTTTTTTTCTAAAAGTATGCAATGAAAGTGTATTGTGGTGATTTTGAGCAATAATGTGTACCGCTTTATATTGTCACGTCTATTATGGATTGGTAATTGGATTTATTAACAACTTATGCAATGAACTCGTACTTACAAGGAATACAGCGCTATCCCTGAGTTACACAACTTACGCTACACCATTCCACACGCACTAGGATTCTCCAATTTCACTAGTCTTATCCTGGTGACGGAATTTAGGCAGTCATACTGTGACTAAATCTTCTGAATCTTCCAATCACACACTAAGTTTCACAGGCTAATTCTTCTTTAACTTCTAACTTCCCGTGGGTATATCCTGCAGATACCTGACTCCTAACGTAGTCGCGACACGGACCACGCAGCACAAAGAACACGTGTAAAGTGTCAGAATGCGTGATCATTGGTCCGTTACCAGCACTGTCCATGGCGCGGACCATATAGAAAACACCTCTTCTGTTGTCAGTGTGCGTGTCTATTGGTCCGTTGCCCCGCACTGAGCTAGGCGTGGACCACATAGAAAACACTTCTTCGAATACCTTTTCTATTGTTGCGTCCGCCCATTTCGGGCGTTGCCTAGAACGGGGTCTACATATCACAATATATATAACCACATAAACTTTCAAATAATAACTACCGCATTAATGTGTCCTACTCACTGATATATAAATTTTGCAGTTACAAAAGGGATTTACAGGTTCTTCACGCAAAGTGATAGCATGTAGTGAATTACAGAAGCTCCTTCTCCACAACTCCGGAAGTTATATATCTGACAAAATGACGCTCCGTTGCAGTAATGCACATAAGTAAGTTCCTATTCGTCGGTTTTTAGTGTGTTTCATCTCTGAAACTATTGGATTTTCGTCTACATGTGGTATACTAAACAATGTTAAAAATATTTTATAATGAACTTTATTGATATTGTGGCATATTTGCTCAAAAAAGAGCAGTGGAGCCAAAGAAATAGTCGTTGCTAGACAACGGGTCTGAAATATCATTCGTTTCTATGTAAAGACCGCGAAATAGCCAACTGAAAGACGCCAGTTGCTAGGCAGTAGATTCTTAACGAGCAAAAATAGACGGCCGCTGCTAAGGAACGGCTCAGTAAACACGTTCCCGCTCAACGGATAGGCATGCAACAGAGGAACGGTAATCATTACATGGTCAGTGCCTAGATGTTATAAACAAGGGACAAGGTCAGAGCTTTGTCAGTTAGTCTATGAAGAGAAAACTAGGAATTTGGCGTGAAATGGCAGCCAGCATGGGAAGTAGACAGCTAAAAGTCAGTTCTGTGCAGGAGTCTGTGGACAAAAGAGGCAGCTTGAAGGGAGCCGCCATTCCTTGAGAGCTTCAGCACGGAAGCAGAGGATTAACCATTATTGGAGCCGTTACCATGCAACTACTAGTGAAGATACTGAGGCCTGTAATAGACTTAGCGTGATTTGGTAAAGTCTGGAAATATGAATTGGCTCTGTAATTAAGTGAAATTACGAATAGAGTGTTAAATTGATCAATAAATCCAATATGCAATCCAATATCCTGTTTAGAGTCGCTACTACACGTGAAAATGTGCTAAACAACTACTCATCATACAAAAACTGGCAGAAAACGTGCAATCGGGATTTCATTAAGAGCCGTGCTCTGTATCCGATATATCTGTAAATTGACGTGTATTTAGCGAAATAATTAGAAATAATTTCTTATAATATTCAGCGTGAATAATATATTGTACGAGTAGTAGCGTAATTGGTTGAGGCACTATGCTACAATCCGGAAGGTCGCGGGTTCCAAGTCCCGATGAGGTCATTGGATATTTTTTCAATTTACCTAATCCTCCCAGCCGCACTATGGCCCTAGGGTCGACTAAGCCTCTAACAGAAATGAGTACCAGGAATATTCTTGGAATATTCCTGGGGGTAAAGTGCGGCCGGCGCGTAGGGCTGACAACCTTACCGCCATCTGTGAGCCGAATGTCTAGAAAATGTGGGAACCTCAACATCTCACAACCCTATGGGCCACCACAGCCTGTTACAGGGTTACATTTACTTACTTATTTTACGAGTAATGCTGTGTCAAAAATAGATATGTACATACAGTAATGAATATCAACTACATAAACTCAAAATGAAAAATTTTTATGGAGTGCATACTATATTAAAGAATTCTTTTCCACTCTTCTTATGTCTTGTGTGGGCACAGACAGATATAAATCAATGATACTTAATTGATTGCACTTAAACTGAAATGCCTTTGTTAACGTTCAGTTGTAATGAACTATATTCCTCTGGATGAGGAATGAGTGTCAGATATATGTCAATTTGGAGCAAACTTATCTGTAAATCAAAAGAGAAGGGACAACTCAACAAAGAGCATCAGGATACATATATATATATATACACACACATTATTGCGAGTAAGAACAGTTATTTCAAAGATAATGAAATTTAGGTGTGAATGCAAATATCACTAGGAAAATTATTAACATATCCGTCAGAAAATAGCTTATGAATAAATATATTTTAGAGCAAATTTAGACATAAAGAACAATGGAAATGAGAGTCGGCCGTGCGCAAATAAAAAATACCACGTGAAATTATGGCATTCAGCATAGAGAAAAAGCTGAGTAAATATGGAAATGAAGCGAACACTTATCTGTTAGTGTGGTTTCCTAGAAGGGCAGGGGTACATTTAATAAAGCAAGAAGTCAAGTCATGACGCTATTATGTGATCCAGAGCACAAAAATTGGGTACATAAAGAATAAATAAACTCATTAATCAGTTATTAATTGCTGGAATAACAACAGCAAAATCGTTCCTAAGTGAAGAAAAAGTCACTGGAATCAGCATTAGAAACGGAGAGACTACTGTGCTGGACACAACAGGCTAAGTGCCAAATAAGAACTGAAGATTATTATCCCTTAATATGAACTTTGTACTTTCAATAATATTTTTATCAAATACTTACTGATGGGTGGAACTTACCTATACAAATTCTGGGTCCCTCTCCGAAAGGAAGGTAGACATAATGGTGTCTCTTCTGCTTCTCTTCCTCACTGAACCGTTCGGGGTCAAACCTGTCAGGATCGGGGTAATATTTAGGGTCGTGGTGAAGACCAATCACGGGTATGATAACGCTTGTTCCTGTGTCCAAATCAATATCTGTTTCCGGAATTTTGTACGGCTTCGAACTCTTGCGGCTTATCGTTGGAAGCGGCGGATATTTTCGGAGAGTTTCTGAAACAGAAACATTTATCTAATGTGAGATATATATTTACAGATTTTGGTTCTATCGCCGACTTTCATGACTGCAGCCATCGTCGTGAAATTCTTTACCATAACTAAATATGAATTGAAGCCACAAAGAAATTTTTGAGGTTAAACTGTTACGTATAAGAGACTTGTTATAAGGAACGGCGTTCTAAATGCTGGCGTTCCAGACGAATTAATGAATGAAATGTGTAAATACAATTTGTCGGTAATTGTCAGTAATATGACATCAATAATGGCTTTAGTTTAGTATTGTTTATATTCAAAATACATGTTATTTTATTGTAGAAGTTACTTGGTATTAACAGAAACTCACGCGACAGTATATACCCATATAACTAATTACATGTCATTACTGTGTAGGTATCAAATTAAAAGCTATCGGTGACGTTTTATTTGTAATGGTCCATAGCGACGTCTTGTACATGTCCTGTTTCAAACGAGGTGGGGAACAAATAATATTTTATTTTACATTCCATGATAAATACAGAACGCAATTCTCACATCCACATCACAATATATTCATCTGTGATAGAAAAGAAACTGTACATTTACAAGAGGACTGCTCCAGTGTTTTTTTTTATTGCTAGTGGGGTGGGACTAAATCCCTTGTACTGCGGCCACTTCTGGCCTATTGCACCAGCCCCAGTTGATATGTGAGGGCGATTGTGGAGCAGTTGGTGGAATGAACAGGGGAAACCGAAGTACTCGGAGAAAACCTGCCCCAGCGCCACTTTCTCCACCACAAATCCCACTTGACCAGACCCGGGATCGAACCGGGGCCTCCGCGGTGGGAAGCCAGCGACTAACCGCTTGAGCTATGGCGCGGCCTTTTACTCTAGTGTTAGTGATATGCTGTTTCCTTTATAACGCAGTGAACCTGGCACTCATATTTTACGTCTCTATGAATATAAATTAAAATAATGTCCTTTAAGAGCTTTCGTAAATGTGATCTCAAAAACACTCTATTTCGTTCTGTAAGATTTAGATAAATTTCAGATTTCGAAAAGTTTGGTGGATATATTTTGGTGTTTCAGTCCGCACGAAATTGAAACCGGCAGAGCGCTTACCGACTTCCCAAGGAGGGTGGATCCCATGAATTTAGTTAGGTAGAAAGCGCGCTACATTCTGTATACATACCAACATTACTTTC